TTAAAGTTATTTGTTCTGTGTGATTGCAAAACTGGTCTGGTTTTGGATATAATTGTGTACACTGGCGGTAAAACAATGGAAGATACCAGGAAGTTACTGGGTATCTCTGGTGATGTGGTTAGAACAATGATGGAGCCATATCTTGGTAAGGGGCATATTTTATATACTGACAACTGGTACACAAGCCCTATACTCAGTGATTTCTTGCATATGAACATGACAGATGTGTGTGGCACAGTGCGTAGAAATCGTAAACATATGCCTAGGTTCGAAGCTGGCAGTCGTAGAGGCGAAGTGCAGGTGTTTGCTGCCAATGACATCATGGCATTTCAGTGGCATGACAAACGTGATGTCACACTGCTGACATCAGTTCACCGACACGAAATGGTAGACACTGGCAAGCAGAAGAGAGAGACCAATGAACCTATTGTAAAACCTGCAGCTGTGATGGATTACAACCTCAATATGCGCTTAGTGGACAAATGTGACATGCAGATTGGGTTTGCTGTGTTCGCAAGAGTTATAAGTGGTACATAAAACTGTTTTTCCATCTTCTTGACATTTCCATGCTGAATGCTTATAATATGTATAAGTTGAAGACCAAGAACAAACCCAAATATGGTGAATTTTGTTTGTCAGTCATCAGACAAATAATATTCAAGTACCAAGAAACAACACCTGCAATAGACCAGCGCCCACGAAATTATCAACACGTCCTCTCGTCTGAGGCCTGGTGATCACTACCTCATACCACTGCCAGCTACTACTGCCAAGAAAAATGCTCAGAAGAGGTGTTTTGTCTGTGGACATACCACAAAACGCCCACAAAAACGCAGAGACACTCGTTTTATGTGTGAGGAGTGTAAGACACCATTGTGCTTATACCCGTGTTTCAAAGAATTCCACAAGCTGCAGCACTTCTAATAAAGTGTCCAGTGATTGTACATATGTACAGTGGACCCCCAGTTAACGATATTTTTTCACTCCAGAAGTATGTTCAGGTGCCAGTACTGACCGAATTTGTTCCCATAAGAAATATTGTGAAGCAGATTAGTCCATTTCAGACCCCCAAACATACACATACAAACGCACTTACATAAATACACTTATATAATTAGTCACATTCGGAGGTAATCGTTATGCGGGGGTCCACTGTATATATATTATAAAACAATCGTAATAAACATTTGTTTACATTGTTTGTTTGTGTAAACAAGTTTTAGCAACATTATAATGATACGAGTGTTTTTGCTATAATTGTGTTACATTCAACGAGTGTATATTTGAACATTGCACAATAATTTGGTCTCACAGGCCACAAAAGTTATGTGAAAAAATAAAATAGTGAAAAAAAAACAAGAAACCATCGAATACAAGTAAATAAAAGTTTACCGGGTGAGTGGCAGTCGCCGCTGTTGCCGCTAGCAGATAAATTTCAGCAAATTTCAGGACTCTATATCTCGGTAAGTACTGATGGGAAAATTTTTTTTTTTGGGACTAAAACAATCAGAAAAATAATCTTAACATTTTCATAAGAAAAAATAATTTTTTTTTTCGAATATTTGGCGACACCAGGAGACACTTCAGGATTGGGCCCTTCGACAGTCAAAGGGTTAAACTCTTAAGTCAAGGTTCCACTGCATTTTGCTAATTAAGTTTTAAGTTGTAAAAAAAAAAAAGTGTCGTGACAACTCTGATGGCAAATTTTGACCTTGCTGATTTTCTACAAAACATTAATGCAACAGAACATTTTGTGAGTTACTGATTTTATGCAGTTGGATCATACATTGTTCTATGTTCCATTGGGATATTTGAATAAAGATTTCAATATACAGTGGACCCTCAACCAGCGATATTAATCCGTTCCTGAGAGTTATTATTTTTATTTATTTTTTATTATCACACTGGCCGATTCCCACCAAGGCAGGGTGGCCCGAAAAAGAAAAACTTTCACCATCATTCACTCCATCACTGTCTTGCCAGAAGGGTGCTTTACACTACAGTTTTTAAACTGCAACATTAACACCCCTCCTTCAGAGTGCAGGCACTGTACTTCCCATCTCCAGGACTCAAGTCCGGCCTGCCGGTTTCCCTGAACCCCTTCATAAATGTTACTTTGCTCACACTCCAACAGCACGTCAATTATTAAAAACCATTTGTCTCCATTCACTCCTATCAAACACGCTCATGCATACCTGCTGGAAGTCCAATCCCCTAGCGCACAAAACCTCCTTTACCCCCTCTCTCCAACCTTTCCTAGGCCGACCCCTACCCCGCCTTCCTTCCACTACAGACTGATACACTCTTGAAGTCATTCTGTTTCGCTCCATTCTCTCTACATGTCCGAACCACCTCAACAACCCTTCCTCAGCCCTCTGGACAACAGTTTTGGTAATCCCGCACCTCCTCCTAACTTCCAAACTACGAATTCTCTGCATTATATTCACACCACACATTGCCCTCAGACATGACATCTCCACTGCCTCCAGCCTTCTCCTCGCTGCAACATTCATCACCCATGCCTCACACCCATATAAGAGCGTTGGTAAAACTATACTCTCATACATTCCCCTCTTTGCCTCCAAGGACAAAGCTCTTTGTCTCCACAGACTCCTAAGTGCACCACTCACTCTTTTCCCCTCATCAATTCTATGATTCACCTCATCTTTCATAGACCCATCCGCTGACACGTCCACTCCCAAATATCTGAATACATTCACCTCCTCCATACTCTCTCCCTCCAATCTGATATTCAATCTTTCATCACCTAATCTTTTTATCCTCATAACCTTACTCTTTCCTGTATTCACCTTTAATTTTCTTCTTTTGCACAGCCTACCAAATTCATCCACCAATCTCTGCAACTTCTCTTCAGAATCTCCCAAGAGCACAGTGTCATCAGCAAAGAGCAGCTGTGACAACTCCCACTTTGTGTGTGATTCTTTATCTTTTAACTCCACGCCTCTTGCCAAGACCCGCACATTTACTTCTCTTACAACCCCATCTAAATAAATTTATTAAACAACCACGGTGACATCACACATCCTTGTCTAAGGCCTACTTTTACTGGGAAATAATTTCCCTCTTTCCTACATACTCTAACTTGAGCCTCACTATCCTCGTAAAAACTCTTCACTGCTTTCAGTAAACCTACTAACTTGAGCCTCACTATCCTCGTAAAAACTCTTCACTGCTTTCAGTAACCTACCTCCTACACCATACACTTGCAACATCTGCCACATTGCCCCCCTAATCCACCCTGTCATATGCCTTTTCCAAATCCATAAATGCCACTAAGACCTCTTTAGCCTTATCTAAATACTGTTCACTATATGTTTCACTGTAAACACCTGGTCCACACACCCCCTACCTTTCCTAAAGCCTCCTTGTTCATCTGCTATCCTATTCTCCGTCTTACTCTTAATTCTTTCAATAATAACTCTACCATACACTTTACCAGGTATACTCAGCAAACTTATCCCCCTATAATTTTTGCACTCTCTTTTACCCCTTTGCCTTTATACAAAGGAACTATGCATGCTCTCGCCAATCCCTAGGTACCTTACCCTCTTCCATACATTTATAAATAATTGCACCAACCACTCCAAAACTATATCCCCACCTGCTTTTAACATTTCTATCTTTATCCCATCAATCCGGCTGCCTTACCCCCTTTCATTTTACCATACTGCCTAACGAACTCCCCCCACACTCACAACTGGCTCTTCCTCACTCCTACAAGATGTTATTCCTCCTTGTCCTATACACGAAATCACAGCTTCCCTATCTTCATCAACATTTAACAATTCCTCAAAATATTCCCTCCATCTTCCCAATACCTCTAACTCTCCATTTAATAACTCTCCTCTCCTATTTTTAACTGACAAATCCATTTGTTCTCTAGGCTTCCTTAACTTGTTAATCTCACTCCAAAACTTTTTCTTATTTTCAACAAAATTTGTTGATAACATCTCACCCACTCTCTCATTTGCTCTCTTTTTACATTGCTTCACCACTCTCTTAACCTCTCTCTTTTTCTCCATATACTCTTCCCTCCTTGTATCACTTCTACTTTGTAAAAACTTCTCATATGCTAACTTTTTCTCCCTTACTACTCTCTTTACATCATCATTCCACCAATCGCTCCTCTTCCCTCCCACACCCACCTTCCTGTAACCACAAACTTCTGCTGAACACTCCAACACTACATTTTTAAACCTTCCCCATACCTCTTCGACCCCATTGCCTATGCTCTCATTAGCCCATCTATCCTCCAATAGCTGTTTATATCTTACCCTAACTGCCTCCTCTTTTAATTTATAAACCTTCACCTCTCTCTTCCCTGATGCTTCTATTCTCCTTGTATCCCATCTACCTTTTACTCTCAAGTGTAGCTACAACTAGAAAGTGATCTGATATATCTGTGGCCCCTCTATAAACATGTACATCCTGAAGTCTACTCAACAGTCTTTATCTACCAATACATAATCCAACAAAGTACTGTCATTTCGCCCTACATCATATCTTGTATACTTATTTATCCTCTTTTTCTTAAAATATGTATTGCCTATAACTAAACCCCTTTCTATACAAAGTTCAATCAAAGGGCTCCCCTTTTCATTTACACCTGGCACCCCAAACTTACCTACCACACCCTCTCTAAAAGTTTCTCCTACTTTAACATTCAGGTCCCCTACCACAATTACCCTCTCACTTGGTTCAAAGGCTCCTATACATTCACTTAACATCTCCCAAAATCTCTCTCTCTCCTCTACATTCCTCTCTTCTCCAGGTGCATACACGCTTATTATGACCCACTTTTCGCATCCAACCTTTACTTTAATCGACATAATTCTTGAATTTACACATTCATATTCTCTTTTCTCCTTCCATAACTGATCCTTCAACATTACTGCTACCCTTCCTTTGCTCTAACTCATTTTATCCATTCCTAACATGAATTTTGATTAAAGACCGCAGAATTGAAAGACACAATTTACCTTTCAGTTTTCTTGTGCTTCTGTTTCTTTTCCTTCTTCTTCTTCTTCTTCTTTTTCTTCTTTTTTTTTCACTATCTGAGTCAGAATCAGATGATGCTACATTTTCCTTCTTTTTGTGCTTCTTTTCTGCTGGAGGGAAAAGAACAAGAATTTAAGAAATGGATATGCATAAGAATAAAATGAGTAACTGTAGTGAGGTTCAGGTCTAGGGCAACAATAGAAACATGCACAATACAATTTGTGTAAGACCATCCCATTATTGATCTGAAACAAACTAGACACAGAATGGTTAACTGTTAAAGAAAAGTATATGAGATGGAGATGCTGAGAGGGGATGCAAGAATAAAATTTATGTGAATAAATAACATTAAACATTAGCAGCAGATGGTTACATATGATAATTATTTAATGTTACCAAAATTGTTATTCTGAGGGTGAGAATGGGTTGTTGAGGTAGTTTGAACATTTAAAGGATGGAGAAAAATTGGATAACTTGGAGCGTGTGTAAATCCAGGATGGAGGGAAGGACGGGTAGGGCTCATTCTAAAAAGTTTGGAGGGAGGTGGTAAAGGAGGTTTTGAGTGCTAGGGCTTGGACTTTCAATATGCTTGTGTGAGCTTGTCAGGTGAGTGAAAGACAGTGGTTTTCATGATTTGACATGAAGTTGGAGTGTGAGAAACCTAATATTTATGAAGGGATTCTGGGACACTGGTTAGCCAGACTTTAGTCCTAGAAGTGGGAAGTATAGTGCCTGCATTCTGCAAGAGCCAGAGGGCATGTTGTTTGGACATCCAAACTGTGGTACTGGTGCCCTTCTGGCAAGATAGTGATTGAATGAGTGATAGTGTTTTCTTCATTGTTGGATTATCCTATTTTAGTGGGACATGGCCAGTGTTAAAAATAAAATAAATAATTAGATTTGGGAGCAGACTGATTGGCACTGGACCCCAGGGATGTACTGTATTACTGAAAGGTACAGCACGTAACACTGGTTCTATTTTTTCCAATGATAGTTCTTTTCTTTGACAACGTTTCTAATTAAGGATCATAACATTCTTTTGGTCATAATATATCCTTGACAAGGTAATTTATTTTTCCCTGGGAATTCCCAATCAATGAGACTAATTTTAAGAAAGAGGAAAGAGGAGTGATTGGTGGAGTGATGAAGTAAAGGGTGTGAAAAAAGAGAAAAAGGTAGCTTATGAGAGATTTTCACAAAGCAGAAGTGTTGTAAGAAGAGCAGAGTATATGGAGAGTAAAAGAAAGATGAAGAGTGGTGAGTGTGTGCAAAAGGAGAGCAGATGAAAGAGTGGGAGAGGCACCGTCAAGAAATTTTGCAGAAAATAAGAAAAATTTTTTGGAGTGAGATAAACAAGTTAAGAAAGCCAAGGGAACAAAATGGATTTTTTGTTTTTTAACACGTTGGTCGTCTCCCACCGAGGCAAGGTGACCCAAAAAGAAAGAAAATCCCCAAAAAGAAAATACAGTGGACCCTCAACCAGCGATGGCATCGATTAACGATAAATCTAACTAGCAATACATTTTAATGCAAAAATTTTGCCTCGACTAGCGCTTAAAAACCTGACCAACGCTATTCGTTCCGTTCAAGACGCGTCCACTTTGGCCTGAGCGCGCCCCACTTGTCCCATGGGTGCCAAGCAGGACGTACATTACACAGGAGGAAAAGGCACTCCCAGGACATAAGCCTATGAAAGACAGGCTTACTCTGTTGATGTGTGCCAATGCTAGTGGTGATTGCAAAGTGAAGCCTTTATTGGTGTATCACTCTGAAACTCCCAGAGTGTTCAGGAAAAACAATGTCGTCAAGGCTAATTTGTGTGCTGTGGAGGGCAAACAGTAAGGCATGGGTCACTAGGGACTTTTTCTATGACTTTTTACACCATGCATTTGCCCCCAATGTGAAAAATTACCTAATTGAAAAGAAATTAGACCTTAAGTGCCTCCTGGTATTAGACAATGCTCCTGGTCATCCTTCAGACTTGGAAGAGCGACTTTCTAGGGACATGAGCTTCATTAAGGTGAAGTTTTTGCCTCCTAATACCACTCCTCTTCTGCAGCCCATGGACCAGCAGGTCATTTCCAACTTCAAGAAACTGTACACAAAAGCTATGTTTGAAAGGTGCTTTGTAGTGACCTCAGAAACTCAACTGACTCTAAGAGAGTTTTGGAAAGATCACTTTACCATCCTCAATTGTGTAAACATTATAGGTAAGGCTTGGGAGGAAGTGACTAAGAGGACCTTGAACTCTGCTTGGAAAAAACTGTGGCCAGAATGTGTAGACAAAAGGGATTTTGAACGGCTTGAGGCTAACCTTGAGAATCCTATGCCAGTTAGAGGAATCCATTGTGGCATTGGGGAAGTCCTTGGGGTTGGAGGTTAGTGAGAGGATGTGGAAGAGTTGGTGGTGGAGGACAATGAAGAACTAACCACTGATGAGCTGCTAGATCACCTTGAACAGCAAGTGGGCAGACCTGAGGAAACTGCTTAGGAGGAGGGGATAGAGAAATTGAAGAAGTTGCCTACTTCTAAGATTAAGGAAATGTGTGCAAAGTGGCTTGAAGTGCAAACCTTTATTGATGAAAATCACCCTGACACAGCTACTGCAAGCCGTGTTGGCAACATGTACACTGACAATGTTGTGAACCACTTTAGGAAAGTCATAAAGGAACGAGAGGTACAGGTATCTATGGACAGATATGTTGTGCAACAGAAGTCCAGTGACTCTGAAGCTGGTCCTAGTGGTATTAAAAGAACAAGGGAACTAACCCCAGAAAAAGACTTGCTACCTCAAGTGCTAATGGAAGGGGATTCCCCTTCTAAACACTAAGAAGATCAATGCTCTCTCCTCCTCCCATCCCATCAATCATCATCAGATCTTCAATAAAGGTAAGTGTCATGTAACTGTGCATGTCTTCTTCAGTTTGTGTGTATTAAAATTAATATTTCATGTGGTAAAATTTTTTTTTTTCAATACTTTGGGGTGTCTTGCACGGATTAATTTGATTTCCAATATTTCTTATGGGGAAAATTAACTTGACTAACGATTATTTCGATTAACGATGAGCTCTCAGGAACGGATTAATATCGCTGGTTGAGGGTCCACTGTACTTTCATCGTTATTCAACGTTTTCATCCCACTCATACATAATCACTGTCTTTGCAGAGGCGCTCAGATATGACAGTTTAAGTCAACCTTCAAATTGCCAATATCCCAAACCCTTTCTTAAAGTGCAGGCATTGTAATTCCCATTTCCAGGACCCAAGTCCGGCTAAGCGGTTTCCTTGAATCCTTTCACAAAATATTACCCTGCTCACACTCCAACAGCTCGTCAGGTCCCAAAAACCATTCATCTCCATTCACTCTTATCTAACACGCTCACACATGCTTGCTGGAAGTCAAAGTCCCTTGCCCACAAAACCTCCTTTACCCACTCCCTCCAACCTTTATGAGGATGACCCTTACCCCGCCTTCCTTTCCCTACAGATTTATATGCTCTCCAAATCATTCTACTTTGATCCATTCTCTCTAAATGACCAAACCACCTCAACAACCCCTCTTCAGCCCTCTGACTAATACTTTTAGTAACTCCACACACCTCCTCCTAATTTTCACACTCCAAATTCTCTGCATAATATTTACACCACACTGCCCTTAGACAGGACATCTCCACTGCTTCCAACCACCTCCTCACTGCGGCATTTGCATCCCAAGCTTCACGCCCATATCAGAGTGTTGGTGCCACTGTACTTTCATACATTCCTTTCTTTGCCTCCATGGATAACGTTTTTTGTCTCCACAGATGCCTCAACGCACCACTCACCTTCTTTCCTTCATCAATTCTATGGTTAACCTCATCCTTCATAAAACCATCTGCTGACAAGTCAACTCTCAAATATCTGAAAACATTCACTTCTTCCATACTACCTCTCTCCAATGTGATATCCAATTTTTCTGTATCTAAATCGTTTGATACTCTCATCACCTTACCCTTATCTATGTTCACTTTCTACCTTAACACACCCTCTGAAACTCGTCCATTAACCTTTGCAACTTTTCTTTAGAATCTCCCAAAAGCACGGTATCATCAGCAAGAAGTAACCGTGTCAACTCCCATTTTGTATTTGATTCCCCATAATTTAATCCCACCCCTCTCCCCAACACCCTAGCATTTACTTCTTTTACAACCCCATCTATAAATACATTAAACAACCATGGTGCCATTACACATCCCTGTCTAAGACCTACTTTTACCGGGAAGTAATCTTCCTCTCTCCTACACACCCTAACCTGAGCCTCAGTATCTTCATAAACTCTTTACAGCATTTAGTAGTTTACTACCTATTCCATCCACTTGCAACATCTGCCACATTGCTCCCCTATCCATTCTATCACATGCCTTTTCTAAATCCATAAATGCAATGAAAACTTCCTTACCTTTATCTATATACTGTTCATATATATGCTTCAATGTAAACACTTGATCTACACATCCCCTACCCACTCTAAAGCCTCCTTGTTCATCTGCAATCCTACGCTCTGTCTTACCTCTAATTCTTTCAATAATAACCTTACCGTACACTTTACCTGGTATACTTTATCTTAACCAAAAAATTATGAGCATATCAGAAGGGAGGTGGCTATATATTTGCCAGCTTGTTTTTGTCTAGACTGAAGGGCACACATAAATGTGCGAATACAGTGCCTATCACCTTATTCTTTCCTCTCTCCCTTCACTCACAGTCCCATCTCGTGTTGGATTAGGTGATTGCACGAGACTAAATTTATACCACAAAAATGGGGAGACAGCATAAAAACAAATTTGCATGAACAAAACTGCACACAGGGAAAGACCTAATGTTCATGTAGAATAACGAACTGAGATCACCAATATCAAGGAAAGAGCTTCTAATTATAAAGTGAATGATTACAGAACTTCAGTAACTTTACATTTATAAAATCTACCTTTAAGTTTGCTGGACCGCTGCAAAACCAATTCTCCACAGTTTGCAATTACTGCAGGCTGAAGGGGGCGGCTGCGGTTGTCAACAGGAAGATTCTCTATCGCGACTACGACCTCCTGTCCGCTCACCACTCGACCAAACACCACGTGCTTCCTAAAAGAAAAAATAGAATACTTAATACTAGCAAAAAAAAAAATGATGACCCAATTTTTTGGCTAATACTGCATCAGCAAAATCTGAGATATAATGCACATCTAGTTTTAACCCTTAAATTGTCAGTCACATACTGGTATGCCTAAGGTTGTAAGTCTGTGACATACCTGTATGCATAATTCACCGAGCCTCCAAATAGGCCTAGACACAAGAAATTGGGTCTGCAAGCTTGGTGAGCATTGCAGACAAAAGAAACTTCCATCACAAAGAGCATGATAGGAATAACTACCCTCTCAGGTTTTCTTAACCCTGGCTTGCAGACACAAATCCCTCGCTTCCACAATAATTAACCACTTTTTGTTAACACCTAAGTGCACTAACAATGAGGACAGTAGTTCTGATATCAATTTCCAAAGGTTTGAGATGAAAGTGATACCATGAATACCCATAAAACCTTTTCAAACCCAGCAAATCCACAGCACAACACATTCCATCTCATGTAAAGCCTGATAATCACAAAGATTACAAAGAACTAATTCCTCCAATTGGAAAGAATATAAAGGCTCAGTAAACTGATATAGGTGAGCCCTGCTTATACAGCAGGTTAGGTTCCAGGCTACTGCCGTAAAGCAAAACTCGTAAAGTGAAATATAGCCTTTTTCACTTTCAAATGCATATAAAAGTCTGATAACATATTTACACTATTATATATTAACCCTTTCAGGGTCCGTGCCATAGATCTATGGCTTTACGTTGAGGGTCCAAACTGTAGATCTACACCATGAGCTCAGCTCACTCTGATAAGCTGTGAGAAGTAAATTTGAGCCTAGATATGAGAGAATACATCTATGTGGTATGTGTGCACCACATAAAACAAGTCCTGAAGCACACAGTGCAAAATGAGAGAAAAAAACTTAGACCATAATTTTCGATTAAAACAGCAACTTTGCAGTGTTTTTTGGTATTTTTTTTATGGTTGTATTTGCGATTTCTTGGTCTCACTTGATAGAATGGAAGATATATTACAGAAACAGAGATGATTTTGATTGGTTTTAGTACAGGAAATGGCTTGAAATTGAGCTCAAAGTAGTGAAAATGTTAAATTTTTGTTGATGTTCAAGAGTAAACAAATGACCTCACATGTCTAATACATGCCAGCTGGTGGGTCTAATATACGTTCACAAATGTGGTGATATTATTTATACAATTATTACAATAGTGCATAACAGTAAATCTTTTATTTTTTGGTTTAAATAAAAATTCATTTTGTGAATAAAAAATCAAAATGGAATTCATTTGTAAAGCCTGAAAACATAACTAATGAAAAGAGGAAATGTGCCCGGAAATAAGAAGAAAACTTTATTTTGAAAACTTTGTTTTGAAAAGTAAATTTAATAACCCAGCTGTGGGGGTCCTGACCCCTGGAACACCCTCCAGGTAGACTCTAGGTAGCCAAACCTAATCCAGCCTAGACCAGCAATAATACTGTCAGTTCCATTAGGCTGGGTAACATAGGCTACCTGGAGTTTACCTGGAGAGGGTTTTGGGGGTCACCACCCCTGCATCTCGGTTCTGAGACCAGGCCTCATGGTGGATCAGGGTCTGATCAACCAGGCTGTTACTGCTGGCCGAATGCAAGCTGACATACGAACCACAGCCCGGTTTGTCAGGTAATGCCTTTAGGTGCCTGTCCAGTGCCTTCTTACAGACAGCCAGGGGTCTATTGGTCTATTGTCTCTCAGTGTACTCGTGGTGCCCTTCCTTTTTATTGGGGGAATGTTGCAACTCCTGCCGAGTCTTTTGCTCTCATAGGGAGCAATTTTCATGTGCAGGTTTGGTACCAATCCCTCCAGGACCTTCCAAGTGTATATTATCATGCATCTCTCTCACCTGCGTTCCAGGTAATACAGATCAAGGACCTTAAACCGTTTCCAGTAATTTAGGTGTCTTATCATACTTATGTGTGCCGTGAAATTTCTTTGTACACTCTCCAGGTCTGCAATGTCGCCAGCCTTGAAGGGGCCGTTAGTATACAGCAGTACAGTGGACTCCTGGTTAGTATACAGCAGTACAGTGGACTCCTGGTTATCGGCCGATTTGGTTATCGGCGGGTTTTTTGGCGTCCGGTTATCAGCCGTTCGCTTGGTTATCGGCTGTTTTGGATGGGTTCATCCACCGGCTGGGGCAGCTTGCGCTTCAGTTTGGCTTTGTCTCTCGGTGGCTGAGGAAGCTTATGCTCACACATCCAAACATTTCGCTTGTTTACCACTGTTTTTAGTGGTTTTTCTTATCTGGAGTTTATCTGGAGTTTATCTGGAGAGAGTTCCGGGGGTCAACGCCCCCGCGGCCCGGTCTGTGACCAGGCCTCCTTAGGTCAGTGTCCCAGGATGCGACCCACACCAGTCGACTAACACCCAGGTACCCATTTTACTGATGGGGAACATAGACAACAGGTGGAAAGAAACACGTCCAATGTTTCTACTCTGGCTGGGAATCGAACCCAGGCCCTCACCGTGTGAAGCGAGAGCGTTAACCACCAGGCCACCAGAGCCCCTTACAATGCAATTCAATGCAACTGTGAAATAAGTAAAGATGGCTGCAAAGAAAGTTCCTAGTAGAGTTCCTATGGTAAAGAAAGTGAGAAACACCATGGAATTTAAGTGTGAAGTGATATAAAAGATTGAGAGTGGAATGAAGGTGATGGAACTTGCCAGGATGTAGAGCAATAAATCAACAATTACAGCCATCCTGGCAAAGAACAAATCAAAGACACTAATGTTGCAAAAGGAGTAACTTTTCTAACTAAATAAAGGCCACCAATAATGGAAGAGATGGAAAAGTTATTATTATTGTGGATTAAGGAAAAAGAATTAGTGGGGATTTCAAAGTGAAGCCTTTACTCATGTATCACTCAGAAAATCTCAGTGTGTTCAAGAAAAACAGTGTCATGAAGAATAGATCGTGTGATGTGGAAAGCTAATCATAAGGCATGGGTCACAAGCCAAATTTTCAAAGAGTGGGTTAATGATGTGCTTGGCCCAAGTGTGAAAAAATACCTCCTGGAAAAGAAATTGCCACTCAAGTGCCTCCTGGTATTGGACAATGCTTCTGCACATCCTCCAGACTTGCAAGACCAAGTGTTTAGGGACTTTAGTTTCATCACCACTCCTCTCCTCCAGCCCATGGACCAGCAGGTCATTTCTAACTTCAAAAAACTCTACACAAAAGCAGTTTCAAAAGTGCTTTGAAGTGACCTCGCACATTCAGTTGACCCTAAGACAGTTCTGGAGGAATCACTTCACTATCCTCCACTGCATAAGCCTTATAGGTAAGGCTTGGGAGGGAGTGACTTCTAGGACTTTGAACTCTGCTTGGAGAAAACTGTGGCCAGATTATGTCCAAGAGAGGGATTCTGAAGGGTTTGGGGCTGACCCTGACCCTGCCGACCCTGTGGACTCTATTGTGGCACTGTGGAAGTCCCTGGGGTTGGACGTGAGTGGCGAGGATGTGGAAGAGTTGGAGGACCACAGGGAAGAGCTAACCACTGAAGAGCTGCAAGAGCTTCATCTCGAGCAGCAACAGACTGCAGCTGAGGAAATTGCTTCAGAGGAGGAGGAAGAGGGAGTAATGGACGAGTGGAGTGATATTACACTGGGGGGGAGGGGAGAAATGCTAAACCTGTAGGGGTCATAACGCCTGGGGAGTATGGAAAGCATTCATGCTCAATTAAAAAAAAATGGAGTATATTCAATTTCTTAGATTAAGAGCTCATCGCCTGCATCAAGGAACCTCCTTGAGGAGGCCGAGTGGAACAATCTGGCAAGTAGTGACCGAAGTTACACCGTAGCTAACTTCAAAAATTGGTTGGACATACGTACGAGTGAGAATTATAATTATTATAATTAAGGGGAGCGCTAAACCCGTAAGATTATACAGCGCATGTGGGGGAAGGGAATTGAAGGTATTCAGGCTCAATTCAGGGAACCGAAGCACAGATCCAATTCCCTAGATCAAGAGCCCCTCACCAGCGTCAAGGAACCATCATGAGGGGTACGAGTGAGAAGGGATGGGTGTTAAATGCTTATCTTAAATTTCTACAAGGATTCCCAATCTCCTACCTCAGTGCTTCGCTTGGGCACGGGATTACTATTAACAGTCTCCTCCTTTATTATCTATCGCTGAAGCTGATGAGAGAGTGCAGAGGTAAGACAACACTCAGAGAATATTCGACACAAAAGCTAACCTCTGCTACTTGAGGTGGAATGCTATGATGGACACCTTTTCCTGAGCACCAGCTGGAGAACCAACCATAGAAAACGAGGATTTTATTCACATCATTAATCGTGAGTTAGTAACCCAGGATAAACCAAGGAAGCCACTCAGTCTGGCTTATTTCAATTGGGTCCTTGAAGAAGTAATATATTATTAACCCGACATGTTAGTAACCCAGGATAACTCAAGACAGCCACTATGGCTTCCATTAGGGAACTTGAAGAAACTTTCATCAGATTATTGCACCGAAGTATAACTAACTCAAGAAAGTCGCTGTGTCTGGCTTATTTCTATTGGAGACCTTGAAGAAAAATATTTTACTCGACGTTTCGGTCCATATTGGACCATTATCGAGTCACACCTGAATGAGAAAAGGGGCTTACAAAAGAACAAAGGAAAGGAGGAACGGAACGGTATGCCTAATGGCAGATGCTAGGAAAGAAAGGAGAAAGTAAGAAGATAGGAAAGGTAAAGGAAATATAGGAGATAGGTCAAGCGAAAAGGTGACAAGATAAAGGTTAGGTCAAGTCACCAGTGAAACAAAACCGAAACTAAGGATCATGTTACAAATGTTGAGTATAAGAGCCTATCTTACAAGACGGCGTCTGTGAAGGCTGAAAGACGTAAATAGTTTTAATAACGACTCGTGGTATGGTTAGTTTTAGTAGAACTTTAATATGACAAAAGAATGTTGTTAGCGACAAACAGGGAAGTTAAGGTCTAGGAGC